GATGGGTGGATGGATGGATGAAGGGATGGGTGGGTGGGGGAGTGAATGGATGGATGGATGGATGGATGGATGAACGAATGGAAAATAAGACCAGTCACCCTCCACTTGCCTTCCTTGCAAAGGCATCCATCTTTTTATTCAGTGAACATTTATTTAGTTCAAACTTGGTGCCAGGCACTATGCTAGGCCCAAGGAACACACAGATGAATAAGACAAAGCCGCTGCCCTCATGAAAATCAAGGTGTTCAACAACTGGGGACAGGAGCATGGACTGGGGGTTTGACTTCCTGGGTTCAAATCCCAGCTCTGCCACCAGCTAGCTGTGTGCCCTTCACAAGTGTCCTTAACCTCCCCTCAATTAAATGAGGATAATGTCAGCATCTATCCCCTAGGCTGTTGGGGGATTAAGTGAGTTACCAAATGTAAAGTGCTTGGAGCAGGGCCCAGCCCAGAGTAAAGTCTCTGAGTACTGGCTGCTTTCATAGGAATGGCAGAGACAGCAGGAAAACAAGGATGATGCAGTGAGGTAAGCAATACAACAGGAACACGTACACATAAATGGAAGGAGGGAGCCAGTAATTGCGCCTTGAGGGGGTATGTCAAGCAGAGCTTTTCAGAGGGAAATATTTGCACAGGGCCATGAAGCCAGGAGTTCTCTGGGTTGAGTGGAGAAGTCCAGACTCCAGGTTGTGGACTTGCCTGGGTTCACCAGCTATCAGCAGGAAGCCCACTAGGCCCCTTGCCGCCACTTCTGGCTGGGTGAGAGGCATCTGGCGCACCAGGAGGAAGGTGAGTTGGAGACTGCAAAGGGCCAGGACTGTCACCATGGCCAGCCGAGGTGCCTGTTGCCCAAACTTTGAAACATGACAGGGCCTCTTGGGATGCCTGACAGCACGGAGAGTTGGGTTTCAGGCTGCTGGCATCAGCCTTGGTGGCTGCCCTTTCTGTTGGCTTCTGATAGTTCAGACCATGGTCCAACCTCCTCCCCTCTTCTTCCACAGCACGCCCCCCCTTCAGTGGCCTGAGTTGTCCTACCTCCCCACAATGGCACTGGCCCCAAAATAGCTTCCATGTGAGGGCTAGAGAAAGGAAAAGATTAGACCCTTGCATGAGAAAGAGAGAGAGGAGAGAGAGGAGAGAGAGGGAGAGAGAATAAGAGCTGTCAGGTGATCCGTGTCAAGGAAGGTATAAAACCCCTCTGGGGCCAGACCGGCCTCAGATCCCAGCTGTCGAGGCCAGGACACCCATTCAGTTGTATTTGCCCTTTTTGTCTTCTTCAGACTGCGCCATGGCGCTGAGCGACGGGGAATGGCAGTTGGTGTTGAACGTCTGGGGGAAGGTGGAGGCTGATATCGCAGGCCATGGGCTGGAAGTCCTCATCAGGTAAAAGGAAGAGATCCCGTGGTCCCCATCACCCACCCCTCAAAGATGCAAGGGTGTTCAGATGCAAGGTGGAAAGTTTGCTGCAGGATTCACCAGTTGACTGCATTAGTTGAGGCTGTTAAAACTTCCCCTTGATTTTCCTTTGTTTTGAAGTGTCAGAGATTTAAGTCAGAGAAGGGAAAACCCTGGGTGCCTGAAGCCCACCAAGATGAATCCTGGAATTACAGACATTATAGAGTTAACGAGGGTCCTGAGAGGTCTTGTTCAGGCACCTCATCAACAGATGAGGACAAGAAGGGCCTGAGAGGAGAAGGCCATCCCTAAAGTCACAAGCCCATTAAAGTCCATAAGCTGCCGAGGCCGACATGGCCTTTGAGGTGACACAGGTCTGCCTGTAGGCTTGCTCTTCCACTGAGCAGTTGTGTGACCACTGAGAAATTATGCAAACTCTCTGGGCCTCAACATCCTCTCCTGTAGAATGGGGGAAATCCTAATGCCTACCTCACAGAGTAGAAGTGAGAATTAAATAAGATGCTGTGTGTGAAGGACTTGGCACCATTCCTGGCATACAGTGAGTTCTAGAAAATGTTCAGAACTGTTATAGATGAAGCCCACACTAGGGAATCTCTCAAGGTGCTATAATTAGAAAACTGAAGACAGAGGTCCCTTCATGAACTTTGGCCTTGAGTATGTCTAGAATTTGAGAGCTCAGAATACTGTAGCCTCCAAGTTTCTACAGCAAGTGGTTCCTGGAAAAAAACAACAACAAAGAAAACACAATTCTGATTTTGTAAGTATAGAATGGCTTGTGAATAGACTCTCATTTTCCATTGCCTTCTACCCCAAATGGTGGTAGACTGACCTCTCCTCCTGAACCCTTCCTTAATGATCTGGGTCAGCTCAAGTCAACAGCTTAATGGTCAACATTCACTGTACCTGGAGGAAGTGGGCCCTGGGGTTGCCGCAGGTGAATGGATTGTCCTTGGTGCTTTAACTTACAGATGAATTTCTCCTTATTCATGAGCCAGGGAAGCTTTTCCTGTCCCACTCAGATGCCCTTTCTGTCTACCTTGGGCTTTGTCCATTCCCAGCTCCCATCTGCCTGGGGAGAATGGCCAGTCCTGGAATCTCAATTATCTGAGGTTTGAACCTTTACAGGTCAGTGCTAGAAACACTTGAGGAAGGACAGTCAAGGTCTCTGTTGACTCTAACTGGCATCTTGGGGTGTTCCCTATGTCCTCTTCCTCTTGTCTCTGTCAGCTGGCTACCAGGGCTGCATTGATGTCTCCTGAAAGGACATCCTGAGTCTCTGAAAGGCTCTCCCCAAGTTGACATCAACTCCTCAGCCACTCATTTGCTATGTGACCTTGGACAAGTCACTACACTTCTCTGGGTCCTATCTCCCTATTGGTTGAGTGAAGGACTGTCTACATGATCTCTGAGATCCTTTTCTGTTCCCATGTCCTGGGATTCTCTGAGTCCATGATCCGCTCTTGTTTTTGGAGAGGAGGCAGGGTGTTGAAGATGAGGGGTAGACTAGAGTTTGCAGATCAATGGTGGAGGGAGGCTTTCCAAGGTGATCTGGGGGCTGCCAGCCCTGAGGCAGTGACTTGGGTGTCTTGAGGAGCCTTGGGATATGGTGTCATCAGGGAAACATTTCCTCCCTTCCCAGGGTGGACCTTCCAAGGGGACAGGAGCCAGGGAGGCGATGTGATGTGTGAGACTTCTGGCCCCTGGAAGGTCCCCAGAGTGCCCAAAGCCCTGTCACGTCTTAGGTGCAGAAAGGGCAGAGACATGCCAATGGATTCCAGTGTTTGGGTGGGGGAGGGAAGACAGTGCTAATGCCCAGGGCTGTAAATGCCCTCATGGGGGCGGGCCTCTGGTTCTGTTTATGATATTGAACCTGGGCTTTCTTACTGACCTTGGAAAGGACTTGTCTCTGAATCCTCTGATTATAAAAGAGAGACCATTCTGTTAACTCGAGTCTGTTGGTAAAACACTGAGGCCTTCACTGCAAGTACATGATCATAGAGTTCTAGAACGTAAAAGCTGAAAGATCAGTTGGAGATTCTGTCTCCGGAGGCAGGCTGCTGAGTGGGCTCCAGGCTCCTGCCTTTCCTTTTCTGTTTCATTGATTTTTGCTTCTTTCGTTTGACCAAAGGATTTTCAGGCCATGAAAAGTTTGAAAACCAATACTGGCCAATATTTTTCATGTTATAGGGAGGAATCTGAGCCTGAGTGTCTCAGTCAGCCAACGGCAGCTATAGGCAGAACCTAAAATTCCTGGTCCTAACAATGACGATGATGATGATGATGGTGACGGTGATGGTGATGATGATGTTGGTCACGATGGCAGTAGATGATGATGGAGCTGCTGCTGCTGCTGATGGTGATGATAGTGGTGGAGATGATGAAAATGATGTTGATGATGGTGATGATGATGGTGGTGGTGATGATGATGGTGACAGTGATGGTGATGATGATGTTGGTCATGATGGTGCTAGATGATGATGGAGCTGCTGCTGCTGCTGATGGTGATGACAGTGGTGGAGATGATGAAAATGATGTTGATGATGGTGATGATGATGGTGGTGGTGACGATGATGATGGTGACAGTGATGGTGATGATGATGTCAGTCATGATGATGGTAAAGATGATGATGGAGTTGACGATGGTGATAATAGTGGAGATGATAAAAATTATGGTGATGATGGTGGTTATGATAAGGAGGATAGCAAAGATTAATACAGCACAAACATACTGATTGCCAGGCACTGTGTTAAATGCTTCCCACATGTCAACTTATTTAAACCTCACAACAGTTCTATTAGGTAGATATTATCATCTACATTTCACAGAGAGGTTAAGTAACTTGACCAATGTCACACACCAAGTAAGAGGGGAGCTGCTATTCAAACTAGGCAGCTTGGGTCCAGCATCCTGCTTTTGATCACTATGCACACTGCCCCACCATCTTGCTACATGAGAGATGAGTGCCCATCCCCACTCTGGTTCTTTTGCTCTAGAACAGAGAAGGGTTTTCACAGGTCTGAGCGAATTCTCAGTCTTCCATGTGGATATCCAGTTGGGCTTCAGTTCAGAGGACAGCTGGGAAATGACCTCTTTGCCCTCTGACTTGTCTGGAGACCTGTCGGATAAACCAGGCAGGTTGACAATAGGATCGAAGATAAATACACAAGGCAAGTGCAGGTTTCTGAAACACTAGTGGGAAGGCCCTCCACCTATTTCCACAAAGGTGAGGGGCTTCTCTCTGCTCATTTTCTGAGTTGCTGCTGTCAGACAAATCGGAGAAGTTGGCCTTCTGTGGCCACCCTGGGGGCTCCCAGGTGTAAGACTTGGGGACAAGGGAAGCAGACAGATGTATTGTGCCAGACTAGGCGGGGGAACTAATTAGCCTGATTCTTCTGGACTGTTTAAAAATAAATCTGGGCTCCTGCTCTGACTGGTGCCTGAGAGTGGAGGGTAGGCGGAGGGCAAGCCTTAAAATCTGGAGACTGAGAAATCATCTAGACAAACCCTTTGGTTTACAGATGGGTAAACTGAGACCCAGAGAGGGTGAGTGACTTTTTCAATGTCACACAGCATGTTGGAGACAGAGCTGGAGGCAGATCCAGCTTCCTTAATTCTCAATCCCCTGATCTTTCCTCCGACATCTGGGAGAAGGGGCTCTCAAATGTCTAAGATGCCCAGCTGCATTGTGGGTCCCAGGTCCTCAGTCCTCTTCCGCCCCAGACAGTCTCCCCCTAGTGTCCTGGCCTCAGGCCTTTGTCTGTGGTGCCAGGTCTCCCATCTGTCAGGCGGGAGTACAAGGATCATTGTCACCAGATAATAATAGTCAGGAGCTTGGAGACCCTTGGGTGAAAGGTGCCAGAGACAAGCTGTCAGTGGAGCACAAGACTTTGGACGGGCCCTGGGGTGAGGTGGTGACATTGGGCATGGCTGTGGGTAGGAATGGGCATTCTGGGGAAGCACAAGATATGCTCCCGGGGGAAGTGATTGCTCTCTGTCCGTGCTACGTGATGCATGCTTGTGAATATGTGTCTGTGTGGGAGTGTGCCTGCGTGTGTGCATGTGCGTATGAGTGTGTGCTCAGAAGACATTTATGAGTACCTGTGTGTGTGTGTGGAGGTGTGCCTTTGTGTGTGCTTGTGTGTATGGGTGTGTGCTTGTGAAACATATGAGTACCTCTGTATATGTTTTGTTCACGTGTGTCTATGTAGGCGTATGTGAATGTGCACACGCATCCATAAGAAAAGGCGTGTGTGTATACACTCTTGAGTGGACATTTTTGTGTGTGCATCATGTATGCAAATAAGTATCTTTGTGTAAGAAAAAACAAAGCATGAGTAGTCATCAAGGGTATAGACATGAAGCTAGACTGCCTGGGTTAGAAGGCTGGCAATTACTTAGTCCTTCTCTATTTCCTTGTCCATAGAATGGCATCCACCTCATAAGACTGTTGCCATCAAGTCAATTCCAACTCATGGTGATCCTGTGTGTTACAGAGTAGAACGGCACCATAGGGTTTCCTTGACTGTAATCTTTATGGAAGGAGATTGCCAGGCCTTTCTTCCATGGTGCTGCTGGGTGGGCTCAAACTGCCAACCTTTAGGTTAGTAGTCAAGCACAAACTGTTTGCTCCAGCCAGGGACCTACGTCCCTCAAGCTGTTGTTGTTAGGTGCTGTCGAGTCAGTTCCGACTCATAGCGACCCTGTGTACAACAGAAGGAAACACTGCCCAGTCCCACACCGTTCTCACAATCGTTGTTATGCTTGAGCCCATTGTTGCAGCCACTGGGTCAATCCATCTCATTAAGGGTTTTCCTCTTTTTCACTCACCCTCTATTTTACCAAGCATGATGTCCTTCTCCAGGGACTGATCCCTCCTGATAACATGTCCAAAGTATGTGAGACGCAGTCTTGCCATCCTTACAAGGCTTATTAAATGAGAAGGAGGAGGAGAAGGAGAAGAATGAGGAGGAGAGGAAAGAGAAGGAGAAAATAGCAAACATTTACACAAACTTACTGTGTGAAAGACCCCCTGCTGGCACTTAGCATATCCTATCTCATTTAATCCTCACAACACTTCTGTAAGGTAGGGACCACTGGTATCCCCATTCCTCAGATGAGAAAGCAGAGGCACAGAGAGGTGAAGTTAATTGCCCAAGCTCACCCAGCTGGGAAATAGGGGAGCCCAGACCTGAACTCTGGCTGCCTCCAGACCCACTGTACATCCCAGTCTCTGACTCCAGCCTCTTGTGCCAACAGCCTCTTCAAGGGTCATCCTGAGACCCTGGAGAAGTTCGACAAGTTCAAGCACCTGAAGTCAGAGGAAGAAATGAAGGCCTGTGAAGACCTGAAGAAGCACGGCGTCACCGTGCTTACTGCCTTGGGGGGCATCCTGAAGAAGAAGGGGCATCACCAGGCGGAGATTCAGCCCTTGGCCCAGTCCCATGCCACCAAGCACAAGATCCCTGTCAAGTACCTGGAGGTAGGAGCCAGGGCAGATGGAGAATGCAGGGAGAGGCCTCTGAGAGGATGAGGTTTGGGTTTGAGTCCCAGCTTGTCCGCTAACTTGATGGATGACCTTGACTTTGTCACTTCCTCTGTGTTCTGGTTTTCTCATCTGTAAAATAAGGATGTCATCCACTTGGCCTTCCTCCTGGGGTCATTGAGAGTGAACATATTTCTTCCTCAAGTAAAATTAGTATATGGTTACCAAGGAAGAGGGGAGAATGGACATTGAGTTCACAACTTTCAGCATTTCCATAGGTAGAGGCCACTATCACCTCCACTGGACAGATGAGGAAACCGAGGCACAGAGAGGTGAAGCAACTTGCCCATGGTCACAGAGGTAGCAAATGGCAAAGTCAGGATTCCAACTCAGGTCTCCGTTACTCCAGAACTCCGGGTCCTAAACCCTGTGTGATTTGGAGTCTAGGACATCAGGACTCATATGACATGAATTTAGTGGCACTTGATCAATTCTGTGGTGGGGTGGCCAGCAGGCTGGCTCTATTGGTTCTAGGACCTTTACAGGTGAAGAACCTCAGGTGTCTCAGGAACAAGCAATTGGTTTGAACCTCCTTAGATGGGAAGACAAGTTGGGTGGACCTAGGGGAGCCTGAGCTTAAGGTCCTCTCTCTATAACTGGTGGGAGGAGCGGGGAGGAAGGAGAGGAAGCATTGAGGGAGCTGGGGAGTAAAGGACCCTATGAATAAGTGCTTCCCTTGGGGGTGGGAGCAACAGGAAGGCTGGTGTAGTAATTAGGATGAGATAATGGTGACAGCTACCAGTTAGGATAGGCCACGGTAAGCATTTACCTGGGTCATCCCATGGAATTCTCACAATAACCCCAAAAGGTTAGGGATTGCATTCAGTGTCTTCTTTTCCTCTCACATAAAAGAAGTTTCAGAAGTGGGGGTCCAGAGCTGGTGTGGTGGCATCACAGTTACCAGAGACACAGGCTCTTTCTTTCTGTGCTGCCATCCTTAGCATATCGTGTCCATTTTCAAGGTTGCCTCATGACCCTAGATGGTTGCTAGGGCTCCTGCCATCTGGTCCGTATTCCAAACAGGAAGCAGGAAGAAGAGAGGAAGGCTGTCTTTTAAGGAGTTTTCCCAGAAATCTTATCCAACATGTTTTGTTTACATCTCATTGGCCAGAGCTTAGTTACAAGGCCATGTCTATCTGCATGGGAAGCTGGATTATGTAGTCTGTTGCCACCCAAATAAAACCAGTGTTCTGTTGCCAAGGAAGACGAGGACAATGATTATCAGGTAGGCAATTAGCAATCTGTGCCCTAGGCAGGTAACATTCTCATCTCCATTGTACAGATTTGAAAACTAGGGGCTCAGAGAGATTAAGTAGCTTGTTCAAGGTCACACAGCTAATACACCAGGAAGTAGTCAGATCTATGGTACTCCAGAACCCAAGCTCTTAATCTCACTTGGCACAATATGTCCCATCAACAACCACCACCACATCTGTCTTAAGCCTCACTTCCCTGCATTCTCCCTGCCCCCACACACAATCTTGCTTGCCCAGCCTACTCTGCACCACAGGGCTCACAGATGGTGCTGAGCCAGTCCTGCCTTGGAGATTCTGCAGTGCTGTGGTCCCTGTGGTCTTCTCTTGGTAAATCTCTGTTCACCCGCTAGCTCAGAAGCCACCTTCTCTGTTTTTGTTCCCAAGCCCACGAGGTGTTCAGTGGCTCCATCTGCTAGCTCCCTTTGGTGCTTTCTGTCATAGTGCCTTCCGGACTGTGTTATAATTTATCTCTACACAGCCATCTCCCCCACTGGGACATGAGTGCCTCAAGAGCAGAAATGGGCTCTCTTTCATTTCTATACCCTAGTGATGTGTGATTGTTGTTGTTAGTTGCCGTCAAGTCAATTCCAACTCACGGCAACCCTGTGTGTGCAGAGTAGAACTGCTCTTATATGGTTTCCAAGATGGTGGCCTTTTGGAAACAGATCACCAGGCCTGCCTTCCAAGGCACCTCTGGGTGGGTTCAAACCACCAACCTTTTAGCTAGTAGTCAAAAGCTTAACTGTTTGTATCACCCGGGGACAAAAAGCACAGTAGCAATTTTATGTGCCAGACTACGTCTCACATACTTCCGACATATTATTGGGAGGGACCAGTCCCTGGAGATGGATGTCATGCTTGGTAAAGTCGAGGGTCAGGGAAAGAGAGGAAGACCCTCAACGAGATGGATTGACACGGTGACTGCAACAATGGGCTCAAGCACAACAACGATTGTGAGGATGGCACAGGACTGGGCAGTGTTTCGTTCTGTTGTGCACTGAGTCACTGGGAGTTGGAACCGACTCAACGGCACCTGACAACAACAACAACAATTTTACATCCATGAGGTCTTTCAATCCTTAAGGCAGTCCCGTGCTGTCTCCATTTTCTCTCCATAAATCAAAAAAACCAAACCCCTTGCCATCGGGTTGATTACAACTCATAGCAACCCTACAGGACAGAGTAGAACTGCCCCGTAGGGTTTCTAAGGAGCAGCTGGTGGATTCGAACTGTTGACACTTTGGTTAGCAACCAAGCTCTTAACCACTGCACCATAAAGGCTCCTATCTTGCCATATTGTTGTTAGGTGCTGTGGAGTCAGTTCTGACTCATAGTGACCCCATGTACAACAGAACGACACACTGCCTGGTCCTGTGCCATCCTCACAACAGTTGTTATGCTTAAGCCCATTGTTGCAGCCACTGCGTCAGTCCATCTCTTTGAGGGTCTTCCTCTTTTTCGCTGACCTTCTACTTTACCAAGCATGATGTCCTTCTCCAGGGACTGATCCTTCCTGACAACTTGTCCAAACTATGTGAGACATAGTCTCACCATCCTTGCTTCTAAGGAGCATTCTGGCTGTACTTCTTCCAAGACATTTCTCGCCATGGTCTCTATGTACTAGCTTCATTTTCCTGGTAATGGGATTGTGGATGTCAGCGTGAGCGGTGATGGTGACACTGATATAAGGTGTTATCAGTCCTGGGGGAGAGCCACAGCCTCATCCCTCTCCTCTTCCTTTCCTTCCCTCCTTCCCTCCCATCAATATTTCTGTGCTTGGCCCAGAAAATATGATACTCCCCCAAAACAGAGTATTCAAAGCTATAACCATACTAAATCATTAAGTACAAAATGGAAACACATGCAAATGGAAAGTTTCTTCTAGATTTTCTGACTAAAAAATCCTTGATAAAATCACAGAATCTGAGCATTTCCCTTTTTTCCCTGCAGCCCCTATGTCAATGTTGCCCCAAGCCCAGTTGCTGGTTGGGTCCCCGTCCTGAGTGGTAGCAGAGGGTAGTGATAAAAGTGTAGGCACCTGGGTTCAAATCCCAGCTCTGCCCCTTTCTGGCTACATGACCTTGGGCACACAGCTTAACTTCTCTGTGCCTCAGTTTCCCGATCTGTAAAGCAAGGGTTGTCGCCACTGTCTCACGGGCTTGTGAAACTAAAGGAGTTAACCCATGGAGATCACTCAGAGCCATGCCTGATGCATAGTAAGTGTTCATTAATATGCCTGAAATAGAGAAAGTGGGATGTGTCTGACGCCCTGCCGGCTCCTGGCTTGTCCCACCCCAGTGACCAGCGCCCCTCTCATCTCCTGTATCTGCAGTTCATCTCGGAAGCCATCATCCACGTTCTGCAGAGCAAGCACCCTGGAGACTTTGGCGCTGATGCCCAGGGAGCCATGAGCAAGGCCTTGGAGCTGTTCCGGAATGCCATGGCTGCCAACTACAAGGAGCTGGGATTCCAGGGCTAGGCTTCTGTTGCCAGCCCCACCCACCTGGGACCTGGGACCCAGAGGAGGGTGGTGCCGAGCCTAATGTAGCAATGTAGAATTTGTTTGGAGTGTCTGCTTTGTTTATGAAAGGTGGGCAGGAGAGCAGGGAGCTGGAGGCAGATGTCCTTAATCGCTCCCCAAGCCCAGGGAAGGGCTTCCGTGGAGGGTCATCACCTTGGGGGCTGGGAGCAGCCAACCCTTTGCTCAGGTGAAATCATTCACAGTGGCCTGCAGGGTTTGGGTCATCCTTAACCCTCCTCGTGTCTGAATCCCCACCCAATTCCTCCTAACCTCCAAACGGATCCACAGCCCTACCCTCACCATCAACCCGAACCCAAGCCCTAATCTAAGCCCCTGCCATAAAAATTCTCTGATTCATTACTGCCCCTGAAGGCAGCAGAGAGTTCCTTTGCCACGAGGAGGTCTGGGAGGGCAGAACAGCCATGCCCAGCCCAGCCCAGCCCAAGGGAGGTGTTTGGGTGTCTGGAACATAGTGCATCTTCTCAGTTAATGGGGTGACTCACCTGGTTTCAATAAAAGACCCTGCAACATCTCAGTCTCCACGTGGTGTTTTTCATCCCCTAGAGCAGGAAAGAAGCCCTGGTGGTGCCGTGGTTAAGTGCTCAGCGGCTAACTGAAAGGTCAGTGATTCAAACCCACCAGCCACTCCACGGGAGAAAGATGAGGCAGTCTGCTTCCTTAAAGATTCCGGCCTTGGAGACCCTATGAGGCAGTTCTACTCTGTCCATAGGGTCACTATGGGTTGGAGTCGATTCCAGGGCAATGGGTTAGAGCAGGTGGATGGGCCCAAGGAGAGGAAGGGCAGGAAGGCAGACAGTGCGAGTGTGTGTGTGTGTGTGTGTGTGTGTGTGTGTGCTCGCATGCCTGTGGGGAAGAGGAGGGGGAGAGGAGTCTCAGGAAGGAGGAGGCGAGGGGGAAGAAGGAGGACAAAGAGGAGGAGGGGGAGGAGGAAGAGAGGCAAGGAGCTCAGCTTCCTTAGGCCGCCCCTTGGTACAGGCAGAGTGCAGGCTTCGGAAGGCGGAGGGCCTAGTCTCAGTCCTGGCCTGGGAGCGCCTTGTCTGGTTGGGGAGTGGGCAGCCCACAGGCCTTTGCAGTGTTGGAAATCAGCGCACAGGGGCTGCCAGAGAGGAGCCCGGAGGGGAGGGCAAGGACCAGGGAGAGGGAGGTCACTGTGGTCCCAACAACTTAAGCCACCTGCCCAAGGTCACTCAGCTAGTAGGTGCCGAGCTGGGATTCCAGCCTGGTCTGGAAGGCAGCAGGGACCCCAGCTGTGGGCAGCTGGAGAGACCAAGATAAGTGACAAGTCAGAGGCTGGCATTGACCTTCTGACCACAGAGGAAAGGCAGACACGTGGGGAACAACTTACAAACACAGGCCAGGAGATAAAATCCGTATCGCCAAATGGAGAGCTCACGGGCAGAATACCTAAGTATTGCTGCGAGATCCCAGAATAAACTGTTGGCATGTGACCAAGGCAGCCAGAAAAACGGCTGGGGCAGAGGCCATGAAGAGGACAGGAGAGCAAGGCCTGATGGTTGGGTGCCAGGCTGTGAGGACATTGACTGCCACCTGAGACTCTGGCACCATCTCTGGGGAGCCCCAAGTCCTCAGCACCGTAAGTCTCCAGGGACTCTGAGGACAGATCAACGTAATGTACCCTGCCTTGGCCTGTCCATCTCGGGGGCCAGACCCCCATGAGGAGCCTGGCCTCCCTGCCTTTGCTTCACCCTAAGCCTCAGGTTCACGGCCGCTGAGCAGGCCAGAGCTCATCGGCTGTCTGCAGACATGTCTTCAATTCTAACAGATTATTTCTCAGGCATGCTGCGGCATTGGACGCCTGCATTAAAGGGTCGGCTTCCACTCTGCTCCCAGGTTTGGGGAGTCTGCCACTCTAGTAGAAAGCGGGGGAGAAGGAGTGGGGCTAGAACATGTTTGGGGTTGGGGGGCTTTTTGATCTTGGAGCCTGGAGAAAAATTCCATGCATTTCTACAGTAATTCAGTGCAATACCCGGGCAATGAGCAGTTCTGCCCAGGATGCATGTGCAGAATTTAAAGTTGAATAAGCCAGATCCTTGCCCTGAAGCCACTGACAATCTAGTCTGGGAGTCGGATGTGCTCTTATAATTAAATCAGGGCAGAAGAAAATTAGGGCTGCAGTTATTTGGCATCCCTTTGGCAAATATTTATTAAGCACAGCAGGTTAAAAAAAAAATCTCAGTTTATAACTTGAACATGTTCAAAATGAAACTTTTTTTTAATGTTGTCGTCGGGTGCCATCAAGTCAATTCCAACTCATATCAACCGCATGTGGCAGAGTGGTACTGCCCCGTTGTAGACTGTAATCTTGACAAGGATTTCATTGTGCTTGGATCCACAATCAATGCCCATGGAAGCAGCAGGCAAGAAATCAAATGACATAGTGCAGTGGGCAAATTTGCTGCCAGAGACCTCTTTAAAGTATTAAAAAGCAAAGATGTCACCTTGAGGACTAAGGTGCACCTGACCCAAGCCATGGTATTTTCAATCACCTCATATGCATACGAAAGCTGAAAAATGAATAAGGAAGACTGAAGAAGAATCGATGTCTTTGAATTATGGTGTTGGCAAAGGGTACTGGATATACCATGGACTGCCAGAAGAATGAACAAATCTGTCTTAGAAGAAGTACAGCCAGAATGCCCCTTAGAAGTGAGGATGGCGCGACTTTGTCTTACGTACTTTGGACATGTTACCAAGAGGGATCAATCCCTGGAGAAGGACATCTTGCTTGGTAAAGCAGAGGGTCAGGGAAAAAAGAGGAAGATCATCGACAAGATGGATTGACCCAGTGGCTGCATCAATGAGCTCAAGCATAGCAACGACTGTGAGGATGGCGCAGGACCGGGCACTGTTTCCTTCTGTTGTTGCTGATTAGAACCGATTCAATGGCACCTAGCAACATCAACAACAATCTTGATCGTTTAAGTTATGTCTTGGGTTTTATATTTGATTGGGTGGCTTTTCTCTGTCTGTGTCTGTCTCTCAATCTCTTTCTCTCTCTGATGCACACACTCCACTCATTTTGTACCTCCCAGCAAGTGAAAGGCACATTAACAAAAAAAAAAAAAAAAGCCACAAAACCTTCCCCTTCTATTGACCCACATTAAATCTGTTGTTTTTATCAGACCACATATTACTCACAAATATTGAAATTTTTTCCAAGATGGCATTTCTCACAGAAGTAGAAACAAAATATTGAACCAGGGTTAACATGTTCAGACGAGTGAGGTCTTGGCTGAAAATATTTCTCCTCTTCAAAGGGTGTTGCTTCCTCGAGGAATATGAACATCTTGTCTGAGGCATGGATTTCCTCATGTGGAGATTTTGGCGGGTGGCCTTTCCCCATGGTGGTGTACGCAGATTTTAACCACCTCATCAAAATGTTTCCCACAAGTAAAGACATTCAAAACACTCAGAGGGTAGAGTGGACACACTTCACTGCATGCTGTAGAGAGCGGAAGTGAGATATTATCTTTAAAGTAGCAGACATTTAAACAACGCTTACCACAAGTGAGATAGACAGAGATAGGTAGCTGTTTTTGAGTTGACCCTGACTCATGGTGACCCTATATACAAAAGAATGAAACTTTGCCCACTCCTTCATCATCCTCATAATCACTGGCATGTTCAAGTCCATCATTGTGGCTGTTGTTGCCAATTCATCTCAAGGGTATCCCTCACCCTCGCTGTCCCTCTACTTCACCAAACATGATGTCCTCCTCCAGCAATGGGTCCCTCTTGATGACACGGCCAAAGCAAGTGAGTTGGAGTCGTGATCCATAAGGATTTCATTGACTAATTTTCAGAAGTCTTTCTTCCTAGTCTGCCTTAGTCTGGAAGCTCTGCTGAAACCTGTTTACTATGGGTGGCCTAGGTAGAATCTGAAATACCAGTAGCATAGCTTTCAGCATTATAGCAATATGCAAGCCACCACATATGACAAAATGAAGATGAGTGGTGGACCATGGGCCAAGTATGCATTAAATGTTTAACATATTCTAACAGCCCTACGAGGTAGGTACTATCATAACCATCATCTCCGTTTTACAGATGAGGAAACAGACATAGAGTTTAAGTAACTCGCCCAGTACCACACAACTAAGAAGTGGTAGAGTTGGGACTTGAAACCAGGGTCTGTGTTCTTAAATGCTTATATTACCCTGTCTCGTGGGACACACACATTTTTGTGACCAGTGTGGCATGTTTTGTGAACTTGGGACAGCTGTGCTCCCAACTTCTGCATTTTTCAAAGTAAAACCAGCTGGATGGAGTATCTACTTTCAGATTAGCAGGAAATCTGTTGTTGTTAGGTGCCACTGAGTCAGTTCCGACTCACAGCAACCCTACGTACAATAGAACAAAACACTGCTCTGTCCTGCACTGTCCTCACAATGTTGCTGTTTGCACGTATTGTTGCAGCCACTGTGTCAATCCATCTCATCAATGATCTTCTTCTTTTTCACTGACCCTCTGCTTTACCAAGCATGATGTCCTTCTCCAGGAACTGGTCCCTCCTGATAACATGTCCAAAGCACATGAGATAAGGTTTTGCCATCCGCACTTCTAAGGAGCATTCTGGCTGTACTTCTTCTGGCAGTCCATGGTATATTCAATGTTCTTCCCCAACACCATAATTAAAAGGCATTAATTTTTCTTCAGTCTTCCTTATTTATTGTCCAGCTTTTGCACACCTGTGAAACGATTGAAAATACCATGGCTTAGGTCAGGCGCACCTTAGTCCTCAAAGTGACATCTTTGTTTTTTTGTTGTTGTGGTTTTTAACACTTTAAAGAGGTCTCTGGCAGCAGATTTGCCCAATGCAGTATGTCATTTGATTTCTTGACTGCTGCTTCCATGAGCGTTGACTGTGGATCCAAGTAAAATGAAATCCTTGACAACTTCAATCTTCTCTCCATTTA